TTAATGCATTGTTTTAATTATAAATTATAATTTATATACAATAGTGTTATTAATTATTAAAATTTAATTTCTACAAATTTATTATATGACATAAATTAACAAATAGTATGCGATTATTACTTATCTCTGGTTACGATCGCAATTAGTTATAATTGTGATTATATCCGAGCCTATGGTTAATACAATGTTATTTTGAATGCACAAAATTGGCACAAATATTGTTTATAAAGACAAGAATTCATATAAATTACCTCGTGTTTAGCAAAACAATACATCCATTACTTGTATTCATTTGTTTGCCAATAAAATATTGCGGTAACTTTCAGATTGACATGTGTTTCATGTGTTTTATTCTCATGACTATTGGATTCATGATTTAAAATATCAAATATATTTCTAATTGACATTATTTTGCCGAAAAACTTTGTTTTCCTTAATAATCGATTGGTTTTTAATTGTCTGGCTTATGATTGATTGTATTGTGTAATATGTTATATTTTGGTCATTAATATCATTAACGTTTTAATATTTATATATAAATAATAATAATATATGTTTTTGATTTCAAAACACAATTAATATATATTTATTTTTCTGATGGCATATTTTAATGAACAAATAATAAACATTTTTTCGAGATATACATGATATACAGTGTAGATATACAGTACTAGAAACTACAGTTAGTTTTGCCTTTTTTACGTAATCTATAATCTAATACATCTGTGGCATTACTATTATATAACTGGTAGATATAAAAGCCATTTGAATGCAATATTATATGCAAATTATTTTTTCTTTAATCGAAATTACATTATTGTGTTGTTTTGTGAATAATTTATAGGAATTTTATATGTTTTTGTCCTCAATTTTTTATATATATTTTGACTCCAATTTTCCGTTCATTGTTATAAAGATTTGACGATTAAATTAAGAGTCGCGTAAAACACAACACATATCTTATATAACAAACAAATTGAACACAATTTAAACGCAACGCTAATTAACAAAATACTGTGTTATAAAAGACACGTTTTATTTATCTTATCTATCGATGAGATAAATTTGAAATTTATTCAAAAGCTTATTGTTTGTAATTAATACTGCTTTCAAATTTGTGCCATAACTTACACTAAATTCATGTTTTATTTATTTATTATTAAATGCATAAAAATAATAATAGATTTTATATTTTTCTTGTTTTTTATGAATGAATAGGTTTTACGGCCAAAGGGTTTATTACTATTCAGGGATTACGGTCTCTACGATCACGCGATGCTTCGGTTCAGTGATGGACACAAACTATCGGACAATTTCTATGTGCGACAGGACGGCACCCGTGCCTACTATTTCTCATTAGGTCTGTGTGTTTGTAGTGTTTCCCCACTCTCTCCGTGTGTTTCTTCACATATCATTTTTTGTCTCAAACGTCACAAAACATTAAATATTTTTATACATTTTAGTAGTTTTTATTCCTAATTTGCAAATACATTAAACAATGTATTATTTTCTTTCTATTTTATTGTCAAAAACGGCAGAATATATTGAATCGATGGTGAAATCGTGTGGTTTTGAAGTGATTAAAAACGATTACATCTAACGGCAAACAGTGAACCGAAAGGAAGGCATTAGCGTTGAGCGTGTGTTCATTCAGGGAAAGTATGCAAAAATTGCCTAAACATAGAGCACACACTTTTTTGCGCATAATTACATCGGCAATACATTATTCATTTGTTTTATTAAACATAAAAATGTAATTTCATTAAATAAAATATATATTTATATTTTCGAAATGAAAATATTTATTTTTCATAACGTCTGTAACCGAGAATACCTGTGATTCTCGTTTCTGTGTTACAAAAAATAAGTCAAAATATGATTTATTTATCATTTCAATAACACTAATGGTTTTGTTATTTTAATACATCGCTAATAGTTTACTATTAGATTAATTGTGTTTTAATATTTATCTATAAATATAAATATATTTCACGGAATATAAAAACAATGGGATTTGAATCCATATTTTGTTTGAATAAATGATAACAAAAAATATGTGAAGCGTTTGATATGTTTGGCTATAAAAAAGCATTTATATTAATAGTACACATGAGTACACGACTGGACGCACAAAAATAAGTTTTCGTATGCATTATGGACTGAATGCAAAAAAAACTACATTTGCATAACTTTGACGCCAAATGTCACAATACTGTCACAAAATTATTTATATATTTAATACCATTTCCCAAAATTTTAGCTTCAAATTGAATATTCAGTCGAAATTTTGGTGAAAAAGAATAGGATTTTAACAAAAAAATAAATAATGTATTCATCGCTGAAAACTACTCGTCTATCCAATTATTAGAGAGAATGCAGACATTTTTTGTGTTTTATTGGTTAGCATTTGACTGAATATACGGAACATTTGTTTAATTTTAATAAAATACAGTACACTGTATGTCGTGAGAAGCCATCAATAGGCAAATATTGAGATAAAGGTAAAAATAGTGAAGTTTAGTTGTATTTATTGTCACAGAAGGCAACTGTGTTTTAAACTACAGTACAGAACAGACTAATGATTTGCAAAGTGTTTTCAACCTATATATGCATTAATACATACATTAGGAGAGAATAATAGAGAGAAACAAGCATTCAATTCATAAACTGCTCTTTTTCTGTCATAATAATGATCGCAAACTTCAATAATATTACAGCATTTGACGCAAACATTAGACACAAACTCACTCTTCACTAACAATTCAATTGATATCCAAATTTAATATTTGGTTCAATGCACTAATTTTAGCCCAAACTACTGCCACTCCATGTGCTGTCGAACCAAACAGTTTTCACTCTTATTCTTCGCCAAACGAGAAGACAATATATTGTGAGAAAAGAAAACATAATTTTTTTGTCACACTTTCTCTTCGCTTAAGGAAGAAAGCGTTGAATGAGTTTCTCTATTAGTGTCAATGTTTTAGAAGAGAAAAAACTTTTCTCTTCTGTTAAGTTTATTTAGTTATCACTCAAAGAATATAAGCATTTATTTTGTGTTATTAAATGTTATTAACCATTAATTGAAGACATGGTTTTTTCTGCACTGACTTTGAAATACTGCTTATAATGTAAGTATTATTTTTCCATTTCATACAAATTCATTCAATAATAACAATAATTTTCTTTTCTTAATGTATATAATATTTTCTTCTTATTATTTGCAACTATTGTGTCCTTCGTTTGCAAATCCGCTAATTATTGACGAAATGAATGATAAATTATTTTATGTATATTTAAATGATATCTTATTTGCTGTGTTTTTTAATAATGACAATAACATTACGAATCATATAGAAATTTCCATTTATTAGACTATTATACTATATGTTGTATCTTATGATTAAATTAATGTTTTATGGGATAAAACTTAATTGAAAATTATAAATGATTTTATATTAATGCCCAAAACATGATATCAACACTACTTAACGAGTATTTGTATGTCTTCTCTGAAAATGTAAGAAAAATGAAGAAAATGAATGAGTAATGCATTTATAATACCATTTAATTTGATGCTATCTTTAGGTTTGTAACGAATTGTGAGTTAAAGATAAAAATGCATTAAAGAGTCAAATAATTAACGAATCATTATTACATTTTTGCTGAGTTTTACATCCATTTTATTACAATTGAATGAAAATATGTTTTTTTTTGTTGGAATAATGTTTAAGGACTAAAATCGATTGATAGCCCACTTTCACATACAGGGGCTGTTGTGTTGCCAGCGGTCGGTGCTATACATAAGTGTGGTTACAATGAACTGAATTTGGAGACAAATCTAGTATTTTGTGATATAATGCTTACGTTTATTGTTTTTCAAATAAGAATTTGCTGTAAATATAGATCTCATGTTTTAATGCATTTTCTTATTTTCGGTAACAAATGATACAACAATTTTTCGTTTCGTTTCTCGCATTCGCTCTTAAAATCCAGGAATAAATCTAAATTCAATGCAATCGTTAACTCAATTCAAATAATATATTGAAAAAAATGTTTGAATTGATACACAGTTTGCCGGAGATTTCAATCGACAGTATATTTTTCTTCCGATAATCGCCTTCTCTCTCTCTCTCTCTCTCTC